GCCACCTTAGGTGTATGTGGCTGGTGCCTTAGCCGACTGAGCCATAGGCGCAGAGTTTTTATTTTTTTTTAGACAAAGTCTCACCATGTCACCCTCAGTGAAGTGCTGTGGTGTCACAGCTCACAGCAACTTCAAAACTTGGGCTCAAGTGATTTTCTTGCCTCAGCCTCCCAAGCATCTGGGACCTCAAGTGACCACCAGAACGCCGAGCTATTTTTTGTTACAGTTGCCATTGTTGGTTAGCTGGCCTGGGCTGTGCGGGAACTTGCCACCATTGGTGTATGTGGTTGGTGCTCTAACCATTATGCTACAGGTGCTGAGCCAGAAATAGTGTTTTTTTTTTTGTTTGTTTTTTTTTCTGTAGTTTTTAGCTGGGGCTGGGTTTGAACCTACCACCTCCAGCATATGGGGCCAGTACCCTAATCCTTTGAGCCACAGGAGCTGCCTGAAATAGTGGTTTTTAAAAACTAGGTTGGGTTGGGTACAGTGGCTCACACCTGTAAGTAATCCTAGCATTCTGGGAGGCCAAAGTGGAAGGATCGCTTGAGGTTAGGAGTTGGAGACCAGCCTGAGTAGAAGCGAGACCATGTCTCTACTAAAAATAGAAAAGTTGCGAGGTGTGGTGGTACATGCCTGTAGTCCCAGCTATTTGGGAGGGTGAGGCAGCAGGACCACTTGAGTCCAGGAGTTTGAGGTTGCTATGAGCTAGGGTGACATCATGACACTATAGCCCAGGAGATAAGCTAGGTTGTTTTGGTTTTAGTTTTGGATAAAATTCCCCCCAAAGTGAAAGGTTATGGTGAATTTTCTCATGAGTTCTAGTTGTGTCTACTACACAATGCCAGGCTGACACAACTTGAAGATCACAGCGTGGTGCCAGCCAACAGGAACACAGGGTACAGCTGGGCACCCTGTGATGATGCTTTGGTCAAAGACAGAGCACACGTACCACTGCACCAGGTCTAACTATATAGTGTATTTGCATACAACTAGATGTCGTACCCTTGCTATGCTTACAGCATAGACACTGCTGTGTTACAGAACATGCTGCGCAGGTGTGTAGCCCAGGCGCAGTGGGCTGGAGTACATCGGGCTACAGCACCTGGGTCTAAGCATGCCCTGTGCTGCTCCCTTGAGGACAAAATCACCTAATGAAGCATCCCGCAGAACTTATCCCCATCACTGAGCCATGCATGCCTGTACTTCTGTTTACCCAAAGTCCTAGAAATGCTACATGAGTTTCTATTTACTAGTTGTATAGGTGTGCTGTGGGACCTCGGACCTTTAATGTGCTTCTCTAATTATTAACTGCTGACGTTGGTATTTACCTCCACATGCTGGGTAATGAGTCCTCTGAGCTGGGCATGCTCGACCTGGCAAAGCCTCTGCACCGTCTGTCCTTCCCTTCCAGACAAAGAAACCCCTGTGCTTTTCTCTTTCTCTTATGCCAGCTCTTTTCCCAAGGGAAGGCCTTTTCTGAAATCCTGCCCTGAAAGGTCCCGGGCACACTCAATTTCAGCTACACTCACTCCTGGCTGGAAGAAGCAGAGTGGCAGTCAGCTGTCAGAGCACTGACCAGGTGTGCTCATGCCTGTTCTCCACGCTCTGACTTCTAGGCCATGATGCAAGAACCTGCTACTTAGCTCCTCGGGACAGTCAAATGAGAATGGACGTGAAGTACTAATTGTGTCTGAAATCCTCACCACTGAACGGAGCTTGTGCAGCCCCTGCCTTTCCAGTCTGCCCGAGTTAGGGCTCCTTCTGGCTTTGCCCAGCTCTGTATCTCTCATGTGAAGGAACCTCTGACAGGTCCCAATGTCTTCAGCCAAGGAATCAAAAAAATTATTTTTTATAAACTATAGGTTTGCCTATTTATAGTCCCTAGATTTTAATTATTTATATTTTAGAGATGAGGTTTTGCTGTGTTACCCAGGCTGCACCTAAACTTCCAGGCTCAAGTGAACCTCCTACCTCAGCCTCCCCAGCTGACAGGGACAGGTGCCACTGTGCCTGACTGCAAGCCTATTTAGGGTAAGTGGACTGAGGATAGACTATGGCCTCGTTTCCCCATTCTTCTAACAAGGATGGTAACTTCTTATATGAATAATGGAGCAGCCCACAGTTCAATACCTTTCTCACAGTTCAGGCTGTAACATGCAGCTCCCCTCATCACAAACCCAGTCCACGGCCAGCAGACGCTCCCCACGGTGAAGCAGCAACTGTGGCAAGCCTGTCTATAGCACTGGCCTGTCCCCACCTCCCACACAGAGTCCTTACCTCACATCTTCTTTCAGTTTTTTATTTTCTCTGTAGTGTAGCAACCACTTCCATCTTCCACTTCCATTTAACTTTTCTAGGATTTTCAAGATTTCCTTCAGTTGAACTACAGAGTAGAACAGGTTTGGTAAGAGAAGACTGAGAGTTTTTAAGGCTCATGCTAAGTTCAATTATTTACAATTATTATTTGTAAAAACAACAAAACAAAGCCCATGGTTGAGTGTGCACTATCACTGCCATGTGTGTGGCTGGGCAGCACCCTAGCCTTATGAGGCATGAACTATGGTCCCCTCTGCTCGGTCCCACCTACTTAAGGTGTGGGACAAAATTTAATATACAGGAGCATGTAACCACCAGCAACTAAAGCCCCAACCATACACAAGATGTGTGGTAAGAGAGGGGCAGGAAGCTCAGTTGTGGCAGAGAAAAGGGAGGAGGAAGTTTCTAAATATTGGAACCAACTAGTATTTTCAATCCCAGTTTCTACAGAAAGTTTACACTGGTAAGGTAAATGCTTCTTGTGATACATATGTGGTGTCTACTTTAAATGTAATCAGAGCCAGGGCAAGTCTGGATTATACAGAAAAGTGTCTGCCCTAAGAGAAGTCAATTCTATGTGTTTTCAAGTGGACAATTCAACAAGATGACTCTTAGTAGCCATTTTCAAGGTATCAACAAGATGGCAGGGGTGATGCCATCAGAAGGCGATTCTAAGGAAAAGATTTAATATGTAGCTGACTTAAAATGAAGGCGTTAAATATAATAAAAACTTCCAATCTGTATCAGCAAGGGGTTAGCTGCACGACTGAGAAGGGGGCACTGAGAAGGTCTGCATGCAGTCGGTCCCCAAGATCACGGAGCACAGAGGACGGCAGATATCAAGCCCTCAGCACACAGCAACTAAGACCATTTTTTCTATAATGAAACTATTATTTGCACCACCCAGTGAGGAGAAAGTGTTCTGAATAGACTTCAAAGGAAGAAATAAGAAAGAACAGTGCAAGACCAACCTAATGTTAAGGTCTCTAATATCTTGTCATCTGACACCACAAAGCCTCCCGCCTGGAATAGCTGTTGGTAAGTGTGATCAAGAACATCTCCAGGGCTGTCGACTCCAGCAAAGATGACACCGGGGAAATGCTTCAGCTTCAGTAGACAAGGAATCTGCTCAACACAGAAAGACCCCCCCCATACAGACAGGTTCACTGAGCATGTTTTCTTTCTTTCTTTCTTTTTTTTTTTTTTTTT